AAAAAAAAAAAAAAAAAAAAAAAAAAAAAAAAAAAAAAAAAAAAAACGGAAGTATAAAATCCGTTGACTTGGTCGAGAAATGGAAATAAAACATCAGCTGATACCAAACAAAGGTTACCAAGGAAACCAAGGAATGAAACTTTCATAAAAACAGTTTAGTGGAAAACAGCGTAAGTTGGGCACTTATGTTAATTACCGTTGGTAAATGCGATTTGACCGAAAATCTATACAGTTCTTCATCAGATCAAAATGGACAAAATTACAGAATTTGAGACAGCTAACGTAAATCTAACGATAGTTATCGTGAACGAAAGAATTGCTGACATAGATCCGGAAACTATTATAGGTGGGATGGGATGGGATAGTTATCGTGAACGAAAGAATTGCTGACATAGATCCGGGAACTATTATGGGTGGGATGGGATGCTTGCAGCAAATAGTGATACACCAGAGATCAACTTCAATAAACATTATGTTGACTTTATCCTCCTCATTATTATAATTATTTTAACGAAATGGCTTTTTTGCTCAAAGAAATAATCATGTTTATTTCCCCTCAATTGCCCCAATTATCTGAAACCGTCAGCTACTCTTTTGTACAGCATAATATTCAGATAAAAACGTAGGACATACAATTAGCTTACTGCTGACAGTGAATTTCAGTCTATGTGTTCCACAGCTTCTATCCTCATCATTTTATCAATTAAATCCTTGGCCTTAGTGATTCTTTTGGTCAATGGATCAGTTGCGCTTGTCATAAAATTGTATTTTGATGATTTCAAATTACAGTTCAGCAAAAATTAAGGAGATCTGTCCGAAAATATTGGCAGAGATATTGCCCTTCAAAAAGCGTGACGTATGACATCATTCACCACCACGGCGTACACCATGGCTTTTTCACCTGGATTTTATCTATATTTTAAGTCGAGCAACCAGTGCAAATGTGTACCGCGCTGATTGATGAATCCAAGGTGGGAGAAATCATGGTATGTGCCAACACAGTGGATGATGTCATGCCCTGTGTTCTTCGAAGGGCAATATCTTTGTTAATATTTGCAGGCGTTTTGAAGGATTTTCTCAATGCCTGATTTTCAGCTAGCTTTAAAGAGCTTTGAGCAGCTAGCTTAATGTTTTGGAACACAGGCATCTTAAGACAAAAGCTGGGCTGTCTGCTATTCCTACATAATTATCACCTAAAAATCAATAAGCACAGATGACGTACTCAAACAAACACAATATAGAGAAAGTCCACTCAACCGCAACTCCCCCAATGGGCCTGTTGCAAACTTTTGCTAGAGCAAAAATAAGAGTTGCCTTCTATAGATAATGCCACAAAAAGCACGATGAGCGCATCGGCAAAGTCTGAAATGCACTCATAACTTCACAATCTGCGTAAGAAATTTGCGTTTTTTTGAGCTTCCCGCTTCAAAACCGATACTACAGCACAGGTGAACATTTTGTTAGAGGAGTCGCTCCATCGTCGGCAATATTCAATGATTTTTGAAGCATTATCTATAGGAAACAACTCTTAATTTTGCTCTAGAAAAAGTTTGCAACAAGCCCATTGTTGAGTCTCTCCTTCGAAACAATGAGATTTAATCAAAAGACGGTTATTTGACTATTTACGCCTGTTCCAGAACTTACTCCCTCATAAGATTTGATTGAGGTAATTGGATCTTCAGTGCCTCAACACAAGGAGGTTGCAATTTACAAAAAGAATATTTTTAAAGAATAAACTTTATTGAATGCAAGTTAGCATACTAATATTACAAAGAGATGCTAAGTATAAATATTAAGTTAATGAATTTATATCACGGGTGCGGTTGGAGCAAACTCTAAATTCTTTTGACGACAAATACTTCATAAATAAATACATTTGAAAACAGGACAAGTAGGACTGCAGAGGGCTAAATACCTAAGCAATAAATTTAAAATAACTAACAATATAAAAAATAGAAAAATAAAGACCTAAAAGAATCCAAACAGCTACGACAGAACTTAAATTCATCCATTAATGACACTGATACCTGTAATACTTTCTTCCGTTTAGTATAAATTAACGACTTTCAATCAGCAAGTGATTGAATAAAAAGAGTAAGTGGTAAAATATGATGAAACATCATTCACTTCAAACGGCCACCATCTCCTTCCGAAACGAATCGCTTGCGAGCTCTGAAAAAAAGAAATTTCATTAGAGAGATGAAAACATTCATTGTCTGTAATAAAAAACAATAACTACTCACCTAAATTTGGTCAAGGACACAAAACTCTTTCAGCAAAAAGCTTATACTTTTAGGAAACAATGTTGCTTCAAAAAAGCCTTTCGAATGTTCCGGAAAAATTTCTCGGGAAAGGCAAACAACAAATTTTGAGTCGGAATTAACATTTTTTTTTAGTAACACCTCTGTGCAATGGTGTCGATATCTTAGTATGGACACAACGGACGATAAGAGCCTTTTATGGACTTAAATACATTGCATCATCTTCTTTGCATAAGAGATTATTAACTCAATTCAATTTTTTAAAATTGGCAATACTCCAATCTTGATGGACTCAAAATTACTATTTAGGATGTTTTTACTATAAAATGGCACACTTTACTTTTCTTTCTTTTTGAGCATTTGGTAAAAAGGGATTCATAAGAAATGCCACTATCAATGTACAGGGGTGGTAAAGTAGATCAAAAGCCAAGATCGTAGAGTTGACTGATACTTCACTGGCATTAAACTAAATAATAAGAGATTGTGAAACTGAATATACCTGATCGGCATCTTGGCCACGACATTACTGGTAATAACATCATGCTTCTCACATTGCTCCACAAATCTCTCCAAAACAGTTGAGGCCAATGGTACGTCGACAATAATGTCTGGCATGTCTTCGAATACTCTGGTAAAACCCTAGAAAAAAGGAACGTTCGATTATTCAAGGGAAGTGAAGTCTAAAGAAAGCATACATAAAAAATTATTCAAATACAGCATAAAAGCAGGATCTACAGTCACGATGAGGAAAGCGAGGGTAATTTGGGAGGCCATAACTTTCTTTTTACATCCTAAATTGGACCGCGTTTAACAGAAAGGAACCAAGCCACATCAGCTATTGCCAAATTTAACTGGGCGAGTCAATTTTTTACGAGAGAACATTTGTAGTGATTCCTTCGAAAATTTTAAGGAATTTACTTCGTACTATGGAGAAAATTCACTGAAATTTGCACGAAAATCCGCCCAACCGTTTTCAATTAAAAACTTAATTCGCCCAATTGAATTTGGCAATAGCTGATGTGGTTTGGTTTCTTTCTGTTTAACGCAGTCCAATTGTTGCAGGCAGTTTAGACAGGGAGATACAGCAACTCGCAAAATGATAGCACTACAAAACTTTGATACCGCAATTTGGCATTATGATCGACCTGGTTCCTTGATCTTGCAAAAATAAAGAGCCTGTCAAAAGAAGGAACCTTTTTGTGCTCCTTTATGGGAGAAGTCAGGGATTTCATACGCAGGAGGGAGGGGGAAGATACAGGGAAAATATGAGGCCTAAACTTTACCTTATGATGAGACAACCCTTTGGTGAAAGGATTAGCATAAGTTCAAAGCTGATTTTGGCAATATAGCATTGCAAAATATATATTTTTACCATTGAAAATTTCTGATATTCTGAAGTTCCTCAGTTGATCCCTTTGTATATTCTGAGGCAGAGTAACTGATAATACTGTGCCTTAAGAAATAATAAAAAGGGATTAACTTAAATTTTCCTTTTAACCAAGGAACTTTAAAATATTCGAATTTTTCAATGGTAAAAAACGAAAACTTCTTGACGACTGCCAAAAGGAGTTTTGAACTCAAGACAGAACTTTCAATGAAGGTTTGACTCATCATAAGGTATCTTGTAGGCCACATTCGAACAAAATCTCTGAGTTCTCCCAAAAAGAAGCACTTCATTGAAAAGCTGTGTCCCCGCAAGGAATTTGAAGGTGGTTCTAAGATGCAAATATGGAGTTATTCAATGATTTATGGACAAAAACAGGATTTCAAAACAGGAAGCATAGTACCTTGAAATGGTTAAGGCAAATTTTTGGAAGTCCCAAATAGTTGCCTTTGCCATTTCAAAGTATGAGGATTCCCATTCTAAATTTATGTTTCATCAACAAATTATCATGATGAAACACGATGTTAGCAACTAAAAGTCAACTGCCGATTATAGACCAATACATTGCAAAATGAAGCAACCAGGTCAGCCCCAGGACATTATGTCATGAATAGTCAGGAAAAGTTTTCATCTAAAGACGAGTGTTTTGTATAGGTGGATTCCAAGCTATCTTTTCCTATGCTTATTAACCATTTCTGGGCTCGATGCTTGACATCGTCCTTCTTCAACATTTGGACTTAGCACACATTACAACTAAGTCCTCAATACTCAAAATAAGTCTGTAAGAGAACTGAAAAGGTGCTTCAATTTTATTGGGTTTTCTTTTTTCTTTAATGACGAGCAAAGGTCTTTGATTGATATTCATCAGAAGATTTTCTTTTAGAATCAAAATTTAAAATCAAAATATATTTTAAAATGAAGTTTGATAACTGAGACACTTTTACTTCAAGGGTTAGTCTCAATGAAGATAGATTTATTTTCCTAGTGAACGATATGATACTTACAACTTCCATCATGTCTGGTGTAATGATGATAGCATCTGAGAGAGATTTCAACAATTTCACCATTGCTTCTTCGACGTTGCTATTAATTGCTTCGAGAGTCATGACAACAGCCTGAAAATAAATGTCAAGTAAAATTAATGATGAAGTCCTTCAGAAGGGCTTTAAGGTTTAAGACATTGAGGCTTAAAACATAGCAGCTGACCTGAGCTGAATTTAAGGAACTTGGAGGAACGAAACAGTTGTTGCATAGGTTTAAAGCTGATAATGACCAAGTTATTTGGACAGCATCTGTCAGAATTAGCCTGTCCTATATTACCTATTTAATTTTCTCGCATATCTTTGCTATCTAGATGAAAACTAGACAACAATCTTACTTGAAATTTTGTGAGTAGGAATTTTCATCATACTTTAGACTGAATATGTATTGAAAATTTTGAGGCATAACAAACATTTCTCAGTTTTCCTGTTAAAAAATGAAGTATAGGAGGAGATCAGGTGACAAAATGCAGTTCGGATTACTCTAGATGAATTCGTCCATTTGTTGTTTGATAAAGTGACAAACTGAAAGTTTAGATAAAAATCTCTGCCCCGGTGTTATTAGCAGACTTGAATGCAAGTCCTGCTGATGCCATGATAAGATTTCTTTGTAATCTCATCAACATGTGTTTCAGTGATGTTACCATTGGATGCAATAGGGACATTATCAATGCCTGTCTTGTTGATGGCATCGCCCGAAAACAGTCAGAAATACCCGACTGAAGTCTAGAAGTAACAAATGGTAGATATATACTGGTGGGTGGGAGGAGGAGGAAATATTGGGTAAAAAAGAGAATTGATATTTCCTGATGAGAAATTTTCTGTCTTGTACATTGTACCTAAACAATGTAGTGCAGGGTTCCAGCCTCTTAAAAATTGGAAAATTTTAGGCGGTCACTGGTACCTAGGACAAGAGGATTGAACAAATTGAATTATTTCAGCACATATATCCCTGTGTCTTGTGATAAATACTAATAGACAGAGGCTGATGGTTTACCTCATAAACAAGTTCATGATGGAAATGAGGTACTTCCAACTCTAGAAGACATCTGGTTGCTTCTTGGATGTCACCGCTGCTTAAATACTCTTGGAGGAGGAGGCGCACTTGGCGAATCAGGTACTTGACTGGCCTCAAACCGCCACCTACACCCCAAACATTGTCCAAGCGCACCAGGCCATGTTTCATTGAGAGCAGAGTATCAGCACGTGAGACAGCTTGCCTGCAACAGTTGTTTAAGTTATGACCAACCAGTATTTAAAAAGCTGCAAAATATGGCATACATATAAAACAGCTGATCTTGGATTCTATTCAGTCCTGACATTTTCTTTCCGATTTTAAGTAGAGAAATTTGTACTGATTAAAAGAGTCTTTACAAAATAGGGATGATTTTGAAAGTAAAGGGAGACAAAAAGGAAGCCATACAAAAAAACTTGGAATGTTTTTCTTTTTGGAGACAGAGGGCAACCTTGGTTGGATGGTCTTTAGAACAGCCTCTAGACAATGAAGTTAGTTCGAGGTAGGAATTTTTTTCTGTTTATATGCAGCGCTTGGAAGTATCGTTCAAGATTAACATTACTTTTCAGAGAGTGATCTTGTAGGAGAAGGTATTCAAAGAGTGCAACTAGTATCAACTTTGAGAAAACTGAATCCATATTACGATTTGTCCCTGAGATTTAAGGTTATTGTGAATATGGGTAATATGTATCATGAGTGAGGCAGTTTTGGAAAAAATAATGATCACAAATTTTACGAAAACTCAGGTATTGGACATAGAATGATTCTAAAGGAGGAAGATGAACGGTTCTAGAGGTCAACATAATCATTTTATTTTCAGTAAAAGATCAAAGGACAAATCTGTCCAAGGGAGAGGGTAGAAAACAATTTTGGAGGAAAGCACTACCTGGCATAGTCGCACTCAGTTTTCTCTTTGAAAACTTGAATGATTTTTGGAGGCAAGCAGTCGTCCGCAATGGCACGGGCAAGGAAATTACCCAAAACCGTGGGTGCATCAGGAGTGTCTAAGATGAGGTCAGGCAAATTCTTAAGTAATAAGTCAAAAGCGTTAGCAATGTCTCGTTGCTTTATAACGCGACCGTAAAGGTCCGAGATCAAGACCGAAGTCATCTCTCTTTGAGAGGGTTTGTGGTCGAGAGCGATTTCTATTGCTATTTGGGGTATCATGTGCTTCTTGGTCATACAGTTCACGTCTTCTAAACAGAGAATTACTTCCTCCGGGTCTCCATGTTCGTAATACTCCAAAATCAGAGGCTCAAGAACCTTCCGTAGCTCTTCATCGGATGCTTCCGGAATGATGGGCTGCAGTTGAATATCCCCATTTTCAAAGGAATCGCTGTCATAGTTAGGGTCCTTCTCATCGACAATATCCTCGTCCATTTCAGATCCTAGCTTGCAGCCCCAGGCTCCGGTGCCACCAGCTGCATTCCCTTTCTTGATACCTCGGTATCCATTCCTTGGTCTCCTGCTGTTCTTCCATTTCCTTGTCACCTGCACAACGTTAGGCCCGGTCTGAACACTTTCCTTCGACAACTGCTTGATGATTCTTTTGGCCTTCCTCTTAACTCTCGCATCGACAAGAATATCCCCGACCGCCTTGCCGCCTTCAGAGGCCGAACCAACTTTCTCCGTCTCGTCGGCGAGTTCAACATCGACGCTCTCCATGTCTTCCATAGTGCGGAGATCAACCAGGGAGCCGCTATTAATAACTTAAACGATCATAGAAGTCTAATCTGTGCCAAAGCCTAACTACTATCACTAATGAATGTACGGTTAAGTAGATAGATGCGTAAATAGCGTGCGGAAGTAAACTAGCACATTGAAAAACACTTAACTACTTTAGTATGTTCCTCACGGGTAAAACACAACAACGGCGTAGAAACGCACGCAGCGTATGATAAGACCGAAGACGGTGCTATCAACCGAAAAATATCCGATTCAGCTCCTCACGATACTAGATGACCAGATAAGCTACACGTTCACAAAACAAAGAAGCCTGTGCGATACGGAAATGCACCTTCTGCGCAGTAAACGAAAGCGAAATTAGGTAACGCGGAATCGAATTAAATTCGGCTGCCGTCGACGAGATGCAGATAGGCGACACATCAACATCAACAATACGCACCACGCAATTCGGGGAAATTCGGATGTTTCCGGCTATTTCCGTGCTCAATATTTGACCTGAGCCTCCGCCCAGTGACCTTCAGCTGGGCATTTCATTGGCTAAAGCAATGACACGGCAAGCCGCCAAATACGAATTTGCGGGCGGTGATTATCGATGCGCCAAGCACAAACCACGCAGACACGATAATGTATTTTTCAAGTGTTCTCAGTTCTTTCCCATCAGCTTTTGCAAAAAATTTTAAACAAAGGATAAGGCATGACTGAATTAGGATTGAAGCAGACTGGTATCAGCTTTCCGACGGGTTATAACTTTCGAAAATTGACTGCACGTTGCTGAGAAAGCACAGACTTTCAACAATGGTCTCATTTCTGAATGGGTTTTCTTTTCCTCTTATTTCTAATTTTCTAGCAAGATGGAGATTTTATCATTTCGCTTTGCTTTCGCCCATTGATGGAAAGACTCCTTATCCTCCCCTTCCCGCACGACGCCGAAGTTGTTTTTTTTTTTTTAAAGCGGCCAATGCTTTAAGTGCAAAGAGGAAAATGACTGAGGCAACGACTATAGCCTTCCCCACCTTGAAGAGACGAGGAAAAAACTGCAAAATTAAATTGTCAGCTAAACGCTCGGATTTACCGTGTCGATGATACACTCATTGATTGTCTTTACTTACTTATCTGGGAGGAAAAGAGACCGTTTCAGGACTTTGTAGGCAGCAAAGCGGCTTCCGCGCACGCGCGCGTTGTACTAAAGTATTCACTCGTGCAACGGTATTCCCATCTTTTTGCCTTTTTCTACATCTCTGCACATTTTAGCGAATTGAACACAGAGTGTTTTTATATTGAGCGACCATACAGTCACTGATTAAAATAAAAATAATATCTATGAGGTCATGATATTTTCTGCGGTATGGAAGTAATATCATCCCTTAAACATCTTCTTGAATTACGAAGTACAGTTTTGTCTGATGCAGAGTCGACTTTTTTTCTTTTTTCCCTTTTTCATGCCCTCTCCTCTTCTTGGGCATTTTAGGGGGGACCAAGTTGGCAGAAACTTCCACGACCACGCGAAGTGTCGAATAGGGCACCCCCGTGTAAAGACGGAACTGGGAACTTTTTTCCGGGNGGGGGGGGGGGGGGGGGGGGGGGAGGCATCCCATAAGGAGGGGTCTCGAGGGTATTAAGATACCGCACCAAGGAGAGTCTGTAAAATTGAGTTGTCGCGGGAACAATTTTGAAAAATTGATCACTTTAAAATTTCAGAGTTGAAAGATACGCCAGGCATTTATTTGGCAAAATCCCTCAAAGTCCTCGGGAGGGGCCAAGTAGGTTTCTGTGGGACAGCCCTCTTCCCCCTAGTTCTGCCCGAGCCTCTGTGGGAACGTCAAAATTTTGTCGCGCAACTTCTCTCGCGGTTCCGCGTGATTTAAAGTGATCACGACTTCTTTACATTTAGCACTAGTGCTAGCTTAGGATTGGTGATGAATTTTCGAGTCTTGAGCCCAAGAACTTACGGTTGTGATAGCGACAGTCCTTTGCGTAAAATAACTGCCTCAATTAACTGGAACATACGTGGATCCGGGTGGGGTGGGAGGGGGGGGGGGCCGGCGCCTCCCTGTTTGCCCAAAAAAGAGGAAGAAAAGTACTTTTCTTCTTCACGTGGAACAAAAAAAAAGGATGGACGCTTAGAGATTTGATAATTATTCATGACGAAATTGACTCAAACTGGTTGTTAGATGCATCAAAATTTTGAAAATTTTCTAAGGAAGCCCCCAGAACCCCCTCATGCCTTCCCCTTCGTTCTAAGTGTTCGGATCCGCCTATGACTGGAATTGTTTCGAAATGAAAATATTTTATGAAATAAAAAATTAATGAAAAAAATTTAGAAAATAAAGAAAAAGTAGCTAGCATAAGGAAAGTAAACAGAAAATTTGAAGTGAGTGTCACTATTTACCAAAAAAGTTAGGTCTATTTCCTGTCTACAAAATGGATTTATTTTCCGTCCAGAAAATTGATAGAGCTATTTCCTTAAGAAAAAACATCCAAAAACCTGATGGAAAATACAGAAAAATTGGAAATTTTCTTTACGTATCTACTTATTTCTTAGAAATTTAAAATTCAGAAAACAGGTCGAAAAAACACAGAATGTAGACAACAAAATTGTCTATTTTCCTTGTATTTAGTGTCCGGAACACAGACAGAAAATAGAAGCTTTTTTAATATTTTCTTACTTCTGATTTATACATCTATTTTCTTTCCATTTTTTTTTCTATTTTATTTTTCTGTCTAGAAAATAGACAATTTCTAAATGAAAGCTAGACAGAAAATAGAACCCCATGCTACTTGGGAGGGTAGATCTTTAATTATGAGACCAGCTGTATCATGTGAGCTGCAGATTTTTAGCTTCCCCATTTTTCTATTATCTTAAGGCTGGTTTTCCCGTCCTCTGTAGAAGGGTATAAATACATTTTGCTTCCAGTGTTAGGTATTACACCTTTCAGTGCTTTGGACACATCCACATCAGTACATCATAACTCAACACATCTTCATTGCTTCCGTTGAAAGAAGGTAAGGTGCTTTCTGGTTATTTTAACACTTTATTTTGAACGTAAATCATTTTCAATTTAACCTAAGTCACCACTGAATGAGGGAGGATTGTGAGCATCTCTTCACTTGATGCACAATTAAGTCACTATCCCTGCCTTTCGTCGTCAAAGGGGGAAGATGAAAAAGAGCCAAGATAACTTAATTCACGATGTACATTTCAGTATCAGTTAATTTTTGTGGCAAAAAGCTTTCATTAGATTTGGGTTTTTTTTAAAAAAAAAAAAAAAAAAAAAATCCCCACCTCCTTCACATCTTAAATTTCACTAGGATTTAGGATGAACTAATGGAAATAGGAACGATGATGCTGATGGTTTATGAATATCATCTGCGATATTTTTTACATCAGAGACTATTAGCCTTTAACTTTTTGACCTAGGAATAAGTAACTTCTTATTTATAGAGCACTATTTGACATCATGAGAGAGGGAAGATCTTTTTAAAGAATAAAGTTTTAATTGAAAAAGAAGAAGATGAACGCACACCAAAAGAGCATTGCACTGCTGATGAGCTCAGGGAAAACACTGCGTTGTGTGAACATTCAGAGGTTGCTACATCTTGCTGACACAATATGAATTTTTTGAGTATCCCCTGGATATTTTTCTTGAAGTTTTTCAGGAGAGTGTGTTAGAATTTTTATGATGTATACCTTTTCAAAAATTTAAAGGAAGAACATGCATGACTTTTCTCAAATATGACTATTCAATTGAGGAAAATTTGGCAACATTTGATTGAGGCACCGGATGCGAAAAGGGCACTTCTCAGTCGCAGTATTTCAGAGTCTCCTCTAATATTTCATTCATTGTAAGGAAAGTGAATGCATCCATTTCACTAAAAATTTCACCGAATATTCCTTAAGATTCTACAATTTCCTAGGGAAAGAATTCTGGAAAAATCACCCAGAAAAGGCTTCTTCAAGGGATTAATTAGCAACAGAGATGCTGAAACAACGCAATCGAGAAGTGCCCTTTTCTCATCCAGTGCCTCAATAGCTCATACAGTTATTCCTCAGCATAACAGTGAAAGGGCTAAAGGTTTTTTTGAATTCTATTCAGAGAAAAATTTCTTGTGGTATGTGAAATGTGTTTTGCCTATAGTTTTGCAGGCATTAAATGCAAATTTAAAGTTTCGCATTCTCGTTACTGGGACTTCCTTGACCTTAACTCTATGAAGTGCACATCTGTAACTCCTACAGATGGAGTGCATCTATGATTTAAGAAAACTTGTAATTGCCTCTTTAAAACTGATTGAAGAACATTTATAAAAAAAACTTTGCGAAGACTTCTAACCCAGCTTGTAAGAAGGACAGACCAGAGAAATTGGAGTTTCAAGATACCATCTCTTATCTTTTGTTACCTTTCAATTGTTGTATGCGTAGCATTTTGCTCATTACTCTTTTTTGCAGGATATAAGTGAACAAATAAATGGCTGCTTCTAACAATACTGTGATGACAATGATTGTTGCAATAGTTGTGGTGACTATTTTTTCAGCTGCAGCAGCCGATCAAGGTTTTGCTACATTCTACACACGATACACCCGTAAGTGTGCCATCTTTTCTGCATCAACCATTACAACTTTGATGGGGATTTTCTAGAATTCATTATTTGTCGTCCTGGAACTTTGAATTACACTGCAAAAAGGTCAATTTTTGGGCATTTTTTGCATGACATGATGCAGAATTAACCTACTTTACGGTTAGTTCTTCTGTTTCACCCTCCCTTCATCTTATGACACATTTGGCAAAATTGGTGTTCAGGCGCAACTGAAAACTTTTTGCAGACCTACAAAATTCTAATATTAAGACATAATTCTGGGCACCCGCAACTGACCCAATGAGGTTGAAAATCACACAGGCTTCCTCTTACTGAGTGTAAAAAATCTTGAGTCAAAAATAAACCTTCAGCATTTACTAAACATCCATATTAAGGAATAATAATCGAATGAAAAATAGTGCATGATAAATTGTAAAGTGGTTGTTCATAAAATACTAAATAATTTTCATGAAGTTCAAAACTTGTATCATTTTTATCTGTTTCTGTTTTCAGCTTCGGCGTGCAATGGATTTCAAAATGATGGCGTTATGATTGCTGCAGCAAGTGATCCAATATTTGCCAACAAGGCAGCCTGCAATAGAAGGTACAGGGTGAAGTGCATTAGCGGTACCAATGCTGTGGCCAACCCATGCCGAAGCGGCTCGGTTATAGTCAAAGTTGTGGATCGCTGTCCTTCTCCACACTGCAGAGGGACCCTGGACCTTTCTCGAGAGGCTTTTTCAAGAATAGCGAATCCTGATGCCGGCAAAGTCAAAATTGAATACACACGGATATGATCTTCATAAAAATTCTTAGGTGTAACAATAAAGTTCCTACAGTTGCTAATAGCACCTGCTTATCTGCCACCAAAACATCGAGTAAACTTTTCATGTTGCTTTTCTGTTGATATTTTTCCTGCACATTTGTTTTAATTTGATTGATCCTTTTATGAAGAGCATTCTTCAGTAGAAGGAAACGAGGTGTGCAACACACTTCAGAGGATTGTACAAAGGAATAAATTTCTGAAAATATTTGTGCACTCTTTTCAAATATATTGAAAAAACATTTGTTCCATTACCCTCTGTACATTGTAAAACCTTCATTCAGTGAATAAATACAACTATGAATTAAATTTTCTCCCTTGATTCTAATAATTGAGTTTTAGAAAGTTTACCTTTAAATTTGTCAATACATTCTTGGAAAATTAGAGATTTGCTCCACAAGCAAAACTCATTTCAGAGCCAACTAGTCAAAATTGCTTCTATTTTGAGAAGTGAGGAGCTTCTTGAAATTTGAAATTTCATACACTAGGATTAAAAATGGCTTTGGTTAATTCAATTATTTTTATTTAACACTCTCCAAACATTAAAAATGAACCCTTCACAGAACTAAAAAGTTTAAAAACTTTCCAGGCAATACTGTTTTTTACAGCACATAATCGCCTTTGACCGTAAATTGTTTGATTACAATTTAAACCATTTAATCATGGAAATATGATAAAAATTACAAAAGAAAGAAAATTGGAATTAAACAATACTGTAAAAGCCAAGATAAGGAAAGGACTTCAACTCTAATGTGTCACGCACTTGTGGGGTAAATTAAATGGGAATCGCTGAATTTAAAAAAACTCAAACTTCCCTAGCTCCTATTTCTTAATTCTTACAGCGTTTTGGAGGATTTGCCACCCTCCCTCTTTAGCAATAAGAGCACAATTGTAGACTATAGTTGCGCTATCACCGCTGAAGTGGGAGGGCCGTGGACACTACGAGACAATGTATGGATAAAGAAATAAATAAGAAAAGTTTGAGTTTTTTAAGTTAAGGGATTCTCATTTTATTCAGTTTGGTACTTTCCTTGTTTAACATTTATTTAAGCTTACAAGTTACTTTCACAAAAATCCTATGTGAGCTTTAAAATGAATTTTGTACTGAGTAAACTAAAATCAGTGAGTGAATGGACTTTATATTGTGTAAATTGAGAAGTAGTTGCCACTGCAGAACATAATGCAGTACTTATTTTTAATTTTTAAAGGGATTTCAACGGAAGATGAAAAAAATTGCAAGAGGTCCCATAACCAGGAGATTCAAAAATCTGGCATCATCAAATATATATCACCATGGAAGAATCAACAAACAATACAGTTTCTCACTTGTTGAATCATTCATTTAATCAACTGTCAGTCAGTTTTTCCAATCAAATGGTTCACTATACAAGAGCATGTGATTTAAAATTAAAAGCTTCAATGCCACAAAAAAAAAATATCCTAAAAGAAAAATCTAGAACCTCTTTCAAAAAATAAAAATAAAATTAAAAAAATCTAAGAAATTAGAATCATGCTAGTGTAGATATAAATTCAATTCCTATCTTTTGTAAGAGAATTCCTCGTTTTAACTAGCTGATGCTGGAAGTCAAAGAGAAATATTTGATGTTAATATAGTCTTGTTGATAAGAGGATTATAGACAACTAAATATGCTGCTATAAATTTGTATTTTTAGGGGCCAGTTTTTTTGCCTCAAATTGGGAGGTAACTTCCTTGGTTCAGCACCTCTGAATAGGAGCCAATTACTCAGAACAGAGAATGTACAAATTGAAAATTACTATCAGAAAAAATGAAAAAGCTAGCATAAACTGAAAAGGTCCAAAGCACGGTTGATCCAAATGCAAGTGGCAATGAGCATACACAAAATAAATGCACGCCTACTTTACAAAATAGGCAGGAAACCCGGTGTAGCTCTATCATATAAATACAAGAAAAAAAATATTCCCCTAAATTATAATGCTAGAAAGTTGAGTAATTCTGTTGTTAAAAAAACTTGGTTGATCATCGTAATAAAAAAAATCTCATCAGTATTAAGGTAAGTTGATGTCACTGAATTGGCGATATAATATAAGTGAAAAATATCACAAATGGCAGCTGAGGACATTGCGCAGTGATTATACTTGGATAGTAGATTTCAACCTCTTAAAATGAAAACCATCAAGAAAGGGCAAAAACATGGTAAAATGTATGGTCAACTGAGTCCAGCCGATTAGAATTTCACAAACTTTAAGAGGCAAACTGACTGTTCATAAAGATAACAAAAAAGAGACAGGACAATAAAAAGTGAAAAATTTGATTTGTAATTAAATCATAGCTCTTACGCAAACACCTCAAATTCTAAAGCAAGGATCTTGAGTGCGTTCATTTTCGCTTTTTCTTCTTCATTTGATGAGGTTTTCTCCTGGGACCCTCAACTTCTACGACAGCAGGGCGTGGACTGTTTGGTACGACGCTTTGTTTGGCTTGAGACGACATTTTTGTTATGTCGCTGAAAATAGAAATAAAACAAAGTTTGGTAACGGATGCAATAATTAATCTGCATTTTAGAAAGTTAGAAACCACTAATACCATACTCAGTTCATCAGTGTATTCATCAACTTGATATAATGTGCTCCCTTAAAAAATCTGGAGACTCCGAGCACCAGGATGGTGATTTCTAGCCCTGCATCATGGTAACTATGCTGAGGTATCCATCATCAAGTTCATTAGTGTCATATACATACAAGTAAAATAAAGTTTTAACCCTCAACACATTTTTCTGAAATTTTACTCTGTAATACACAATCATAAGAGTAAAGTGTACAACCTGAGGCTCCATGCGCTTGGGGGGGGGGGGGGGGGAGGGGTTGAACTGCAAAGCTGTCGGGGAGTGTACTCCCTAATCATTAAGATATAACATTACTCCTCCTATATCTTTGATACCCTTTATTAATAAAGTATACAGTCAGTAGCAAAGAGTTAGAAAGGATAAGATCATAAAATTTGTGATGGCAGCAGTTTTGCAAAACTCTGTTCTTAACCATTGCTTATTTTGTATCTTGAGTGATGCCACACTACTGAAAGTAGGGATCACAATATTCGGCACAATATACACACCCAATGAGTCATGCTGAGGATGCAGGAGTTGCCAGCTGGTGAAACGCGCCCGCAATTTAATATTTTTATGTGCAAGTTAGTTAAAAAATTTTACTGACCACAATATTGATTACTAAAATTTCGTTATGGTTTTAACTTCCATGTGTGTAGAAATCAACGAGGCCGACTTTTACAACGCAAGAGGAGATTAATCCCATTCAGTAAAATAAATTACTTAAACACTTCACCAAATTAAAATCTGATTGTTTGCTGGAAAAAATTAGGAAAAAATGTAAGGAACTCACAACTGATCAGCAGCATTTGCAGCATCACCCTGAGTTCCTTTGCCGATTTGGGCATCTTTATTTCGACGGTCACGGTCTCTTTCCCGCTTATTTTTTCTGTAACCAGAGCGCTCATGTCTTGGTAGCCACCGTTCTGGATTCGGAGGTACTGATGGGTCGTAATTCTTCGGTAACTTGCCGGGTTTCTTCTTCCTTTTCTTTTTCTTCTCAATCAGTTCGCTATTTGTACTTCTGTAGAAAATAGAACAAAAGCACAGATGTAATTGTGACTAAGAGGAATCAAGGAATAGAAAATGAACAGCACCAAAAATTGAATAATAAAGAAGGAAACAAATTTGTGCAGGGGAAAGGATTTTAGTTATCATTACCACTGCAAGGAGGAATGTTTTAGAGACGATTCGGTGCAAAAAATGCCCATAAATATTTATGAAGTCTATATTTGTAGCAGTTTGAAATCGACAGTTCAAAAAACTTGAGTTCAGGGGTGCAGAATCTTCCGAGTTTCCACATTTACTGTGCCTGCCAACGTCAGCTTTCCAAATTTGTCTCATCGCTTTACATATAAAATCTCTTCAACTTTAAAAAAGAGGACCTTTTTCTTCCACCTTCCTTTGACTTCCGAACTTAGACCCTTGAACATTGTCTCTCCTCTCACATCTTTAGGTCCTTTGCACATTTTCTTATGCCTGGGTAGGCACTTGATCAAGCATTTTCTGCACCTCTGCTCAAGTTTTGAGAGAAAGTTGTTCGAAGTTCTAACCTAATGAGTTTAGGGCTCGTATTGATAGACTGAGGCACAACTTCACGTTCTTCATGGGCATGAAAATAGACTAAACCGTTTGGATTAAACCTTTGAAATACTGAAGAGTATTTTCCACTAAGAACTCAAATTAGATTTTTTGACCCAGCTGAAGAAACACAGTCGTCTAAAAGAATATTCTTCTATGAAGACTTCTATTCTCTTGCCCAAGAATACTTTAAATTTAATCAAATATTTCCCGTAAAAAATGAACTTCCTGAATTCAGCGTGAGATCAGGTAACATTTTCATTTTCCGTCAAAGGAGAGGTAAAAAAATTTGAAAAGTTGCATCTTTGGATTAGTTTGATGGTGACGATTAGTACTCGGAATATTATATTTTTCTACAAGGGTTAGCTCTATTCATTAAGCTAATCTGATCTTAAAATGATTCATTAACTATTTGTAGTTTTACTGTGCTAAAAAAAGTGAAAGCAAGTGGTGCCAACTGGCAATGGTGGCAAATGGTGGTGGATGAAAAGTTGTTAAACTTACTTTGGAGTTTGGTCAACTTTCGAGGCTTTCTTAATGACTTTAGTTCCCATAATCCAACTAAGAGCTTCCAAAGCATCAACATCAGTGCCTTTCGAACCCAGGGAAAGCTTTTTACTCAAGCTTTCAGCTTTGTTTTGATCAAACTAAAAGATTTATGAATGTTAAAATTATTAGAGCTGTTATAAGCAAGATGAAAATTTTAACATACACATTATTAGACACAAAACATTTCATCAATATAAAATGCAGGTAAACATTTAATACACACATGTTTTTCCACAAAACTCAGATGATGTAAATGTTTACTGAACTGAGTGACAATAAAATAATGTTATAATTATACTGTTAATATTATTAATAATTGTTTGAGGCAATACTGTGAATGAAATATATGTAGTTTCCTTGTCCTAGAAATAAGATTGTTTACAGTCTCCAATTCAACAAACATTGATTTTGGTTTTTCCTGTGAGCGGTAGGTTTGAATCAACTAATTTCGTACTTGTCATGTGATTTTGGAATTTTTCGACATGATAAATATTTTGTATTACTTCCCTGTTTAATAACCCATAACTTGATTTTTTCAGATTTTCCAAGACCAAAGCGCTAAAATTTTTCTTACTTTCACTCAATTAATCTGACTGAAAAACAACAATTTTCCTATTTTTCCAAATTTTTGCTTGACTACATAGACAACACTTCCTTGATTTCCACCAGTTTTTCCCGAGAAAACTATAGTAAATCCTTAATTCAGGTTTTCTCTTATCAAAATGATGAACATTTTTTTAAAATGTTAAAATGTTCGTTCAATGACACATCAACATGCCTTAAAAAGGTTGTACAATCGTGATAAGTCCTGACCACAAGGCGCAGGCCCTGCAACGCATCGGCTAGATTCAAGGTAAGTGAAACTTTTGAGTTTGTTTACATTAACATATCATTACTAAAAAAGGCAATTCCTGATATTTTAGTCGACTAAAAACTCCCCAGAAGAATTTAAGAATAATCAAAACTGCCTCCCAACATTCATGAGAAATTAAAAGGTGGATGATTATATTCCAGTCTGAACCATGTAATTCCTCGGAATTCCTAGGTGAAATTTGAGATCCCTGTTTTTAAGGAGGTTTTTTTTCAGTCCTGTACTTCAAACACTCAAAACAAATTTACATACAACATTAGCGTGTGAATTAAACAGATAGATGATTAGTCATTGCCCATGGAGGAAATTTATCCTAAAAGATGATGATGCCTTTTCGATAGGCTGTACGCTCACTAGTCTTCGTTATGTACGGTGCAGATAGGTTGAGTAATAAAAAAATTCATGCACTATTATTTGCGGCAAATTTCTGCAAGAAAAATAGGTTAAGTTTTTGGGCTTACTGACAACCTTTGACAGTGTGTCTACAACCTGTAGTTTTCATGTTGGTAGCTATGAAAACTACATCAAAATTCTCTACCCAAGTCCTGCATGAGTAGAGAAATGAATGGGAGCAAACATAAGTCGCGAATCATCAAATTGCTGAGTTTAGTTCTCGATTCCTGGCAAGCGTTTTCCTTTGTCATTTGACAGTTCCCACAAATCAGGCTCAAAAGATAACTAAACGCACTCGCAAAAATTAGTTTTTGGAGAAGCCTTGAATTTCCTTACCTGCGCGTAAGCAATCAGCAGTTTAGCTTGAAGTTGTTTGTCATCAGGATAAATTTTGAGAAGTTCCTCCATACTCTTGGCCGCAACATCTGGTTCTCCTTGCCGCATGTGAAAGTCTGCTGCTTGTTTCCATAGGGCCTCTAAATTATCATTGCTGACCTAAAATTTCACAAATACTGATAAAAATTAATGAAAAAAGGCAAATGAAGCACTCTATGGATTGGAGAAAGGCACAGCCCAAGAATGTATAATAGCAAATGGGTGGTAAAACTAGAAATTACACATCTATTTGTACATGCGTACTTACGAGTTGCTTTCAGAGTGCTCATAAACATTCTGCAGCTCATGATGAGTCAGTTGCACTGGTCACAAAATCTTGTTTTGATGCTTGATTCTTATAGAATAGCTAAAAATATTAAGATCTGTCCAAGCAGCAACTTCCTACGTTTAACATTAACTGAGATATCGCGCTTTGAAAAGACAGGTTTTTGACATCATCCACCGCGGTAGGGGTTCCTTTGGTTTCTTCCTCTTTTGTTCAATCAGTGATGCAGAGGGCGCAACGTGAAACTTAAGGGATATTAAACGTAAACAAACTGGAGAAACAGACGGATTCCCACTTCAAAGATCTTCTTATCAGGAGATATTGCACTTGCTGCAAAGAGATTCGGCGGTCAGTCAGTTCACCTCAGTTTGTTTTCGTTTAATGTCGTTGAAGTTTTGCATTGCGCCCTTTGCAACACTGATCAAAGAAAAAAGGAAGAAACCAAGGGTGTCACTTAGGGATGTCGATACTCAGGGAAGTATCGATACTCGGTATCGATACTGGTATCGACTCTAAGCATCGATACCGGTATCGAGCATCGAGCTGAAGTATCGATACTTATGAGGTATCGATACCATCGATACTATTTCTGAATTATGCCGTGATTCTGAGTGTGCGTATGTCTGTCGGCCGTTAAATTCCGCCAGATTTACGCCTCTCTCGAAAAAGCCCTGTTCGCGTCCTTAGTCAACTATTTTGAGCCTTTAACTACAGTTATCGAACTGAGCTTTTAACATTTTTACTGAAGTATAATCATCTTGAGAAACTTGATTACTCCGTCGTTTGTCACAGTGCATCATGAAGGTGAAATAGTGGGGAGAAAAGTTTTTAAAAAAGAAAAAGATGCCTTCTTCATGGCCAAATCAGATTAAGTATCGATACCGTCAATACTGGGGTCTTGGCATCGATACTGCATGGTATCGATATTGTGGAGTATCGATGCCGAGTATCATTAAGTATCGATCAAAAGTATTGATACTTTGCAAGTATCGGATAAGTATCGACATCCCTACACTACAACTGTAGATGCCGTCAAAAACCTGACTTTTCAAAGCGCAATATCTCTGTTAAAGAGAGTTCCTGCTTGAGCAGATCTTATTGTTTTTAGTTAATCTACAAGGATCAAGCATCAAAACATGATTCTGCTACCAGCACAACTGACTTATTAAATGGTGACATGCAAAAATCGCTATATCCATGTATCCAGACTTGGGTTTTTTTAGGTTCATAATACTCTTCAGAGTTCAATACAAACATGAAAGTGGTGTTAATACTCGTTTTCACACTGTCTTAATCCCAAAACAAGTCTTTGCAACACTTTCATCATTGCATCAAATCTTGAAAAGTCTTATTGATAAAGAAAGAAAAAACTGAAAGCTGGAATGAAGAACATTAGCGGTTTTCGTAAGGTTGATTTTTGAAGAGTGCTAAAGCTTTAAGTTTGAGGAACTTATTTGTCTCTTTAATTTCAAGTGCTTATTTAATACTAAATTATGATAAAACTTGGAAAAAGAACAATTTTTTGAAAAAAGGGGGAAAAATTAAACTTTCCTGGAAGTTGCTTCTTGAAACATTAAGTAGGCAGTAAAATGAAGCGAGCTTTAAAAGAAAATCTGACCTTATTTTTACGGTACCAGTCTACAGCCTTCTCCAGAGTTTTGGAAGCTGTTTTCCAATCGTTTTGAGCAAGATAAAGAGTGACTAAAGCACTCACTATTCCAGGTTTGAAGGAATTGTCGCCTAAATTTTCTAAAATCTGTGTGGCAGTGGCAATGTCTCCCTGAAAAAGCACAGTAAAAAAAGAAATTAACAGGGCTAAAGAAGTCAGCACAGAGCTAAATATAAAAACTTTTGTTTCATTTTTTGAGGACTTTCAGAAAAAATGAAAATTTTCAAGAGACACAAGAAATTGTACAATAGGAAAATAAGTTAGTATGAGAAAAAGCTTTTTGGTGCAAAGACAAGTACTTAAAGGTATTTGAAAGGCCCAAGTTAAAATTGATACGTCATCTTTGAAGATAAAAAATTGGGCATTTCAAAGTTGTCAAATTGATGCATCTTCTTTCTCACCGAATTTTGGTGACTGATTTTTCATTTATTTCCTTGGAAATTCACATTTGTAGGTCTGTAGCTTAGAGTTTTTGTAGAGTGGGTCTGTTGCAGGCACAAGATACAGCCAAATAAATATACAGTTTACAGGAAAAATTGCATAAAAATCACATTGGCCACGTCAAATCAGTCGGAAATCTATTCCTTGGCGAGCAATCTGCGTAGTTTGTAACATACTTTTTCAAGTTTCCCACGCCTTTAGGCAGTTTTTCTCAGTCACCGCCAATCAGGTTTGCACAGGCAGAGGAGTAGGAAAAACTATCCTGAGTAAACAAACAATTTAATTAAATTTTTCTATTGTATGATTTCAATTGCTTTCAAGCATTTGTTTTCTTTTTCTTTCTTTATTTTGTAAAAACAAAATCTTTGAATCAATTGAAATCTACGCAAGGAGAGATTATAACAGTTTGCAAGATTGTTTGTACAGTCAGGTTAGGTCTCTCTGTGGATAAACCTGATTGCGCGCTACCAAGAAAAACTGCATGCATATGCCGTAATTTGAAAAAGCGTTTTACAAACTACGCAGATCTCACGCTGAAGAATGGATTTTAGACTTTTTCAACGTGCCCAACGAGATTTTTGAGCGAATTTACCCTTAGTAAATGTATTCAGTTGGCTGCATTTCTTGACCCATGACAACAGACCCATTTAGTTCTAGAAAGTGCATGGAATAGAAAAGTGAAATCCATGAAACCGAATGGGCAGCTGTCTCTTGTAAAATAGCCTAAAGTTGGGGTTTCAACAAGAATACTGAATCTTTTCTCCCTTTCTAGTGATTATTTCAGGCTAGTATTAAAATGGAAGGGAATAGATACCCTAGATTTTTTTTGTAAAATGAAAGATATTTTAATGTCCTAAGGACCCAAGGAGAGCACCCAAAAATAGGTTTCTTGTCAAATTCTGAACTACTATCCTCTATGAATAAGAAATTTTGCTTTCTTTTTTAATTTTTTGGGATGCTTAAGAGTGGTTCTGTCGAGAACTCAAGCTACTTTTTCAAACGAACTTGACAACTATCGCATCCTGAAAAAATGGCCACAGTTCTTTGTAGATGGTCACACACGCAGTAAAAAGAGAGTTACCTCTTCTAATAAAAGCTGAACATCAGCAAGTCCTAATTCAAACTGATATTCTGGATGAGACTCTATGTAGTCTGACAGAATTTTATGCGCCTGCTTCCCTTTACCGCTTTTAGCTTGCAACAAGGCTTTGATTATTATGACATGGCGAGCGGTGTCTGGAAATTTTTCGGTCAACTTCGAGCAGAGTTGGTTGCAAAATTCGACCTAAAAACGAGAAGAAGTTAAAAAACTAGATTTATATCACTAGCACTGACAGGGTAAACACAAAAAATATACAGTTTATGTGAAATATACCATTGATCTGAAGAAAATGTTTGACATGGTTGGTGACTTCTTCAGGTTTTGCTTATTGTAGATTCACCATGGATCAGAAGCATTTTTACTCCTTTTGCCACTGAATAAATAGGAATACAATAATAGGGCTTTATATTGAAGGTTAATGTGAGGGACTTCATTCGGAAGTTTTCTGAGCTGTTTTTTCAAACAATTAGGTACCTTACTTTTTCCTACTATACATTGAAATTGGCAGAGAAAAACTTTTCGAAGATAAAATTGTAAACAAATTCGAGAGCCAGTTTGATGGCTGCTTCTTCACCAAAATTTTGAATTTTCATTTCTGGGCTGAAAAACAACTTCCAGTTCCTACTTAATGTCGAAATTTTGGTAAAAATAGATAACTGAGGAAAATAAAAATTATGAAATGCTTCAGTAGTGTTTTCTATGTACTCTCCATTATTCCCACGAATGAACGATGTACTTTCATAGATACTTTAATGTATTATCCCTTGTCTTCTGCGACAAAATTTTCAGATTTGACCAACAACTTAATGAGCAAATGGCGATGTGACTAGATGTGCCTAGACACATTGAGATTTGACCGGTCAAAAGCAAATTTTGTTTAAAGAAATGTAAATTTGACCAATAGGCTTTAGTCCAATCGCGATTTGACTGAATAATAGCATTTGATGGTAGCAGTTACAAATTCAAGATCTCCACAGCCTTAAAATATCACTTTCAAAACCAACGATCTTGAAACAATTTCTGATGCAAGGGTGAAATAAGTTGATTTTTTATTCTTACTCAGTTTATTTAGTCAAAAACTGATCCTGCTATGGATATCACTTTGTACAAGTTGTTTCTTTGGAAGAATTTCTGGAGAGAAGTCTTTGAATGTCTTTTATTGTCTTTCAAGGCTTTTACCTGATTTGTGTAGAGAGCAAATAAACAGTTGTTCAGCGCAATATCTTTCCGCTGCCGGGTGGTTAGTTTCTGGTCCAGATTTTCTGATGTCGCACTCTTAATCTTTTTCTTGGAATCAAAGACATTTTGGTCCCTTTCTCTATTTAATACAACAACATTATTGCATGCTATGGCAACTAATGCGGGGTCATCCGGTTTCTCCTTCAAAATTGAGTTATAGATTTCCAAACTTTCCTTTTCACGCCCTAAGGTTTGCGTCACAAATCCTAACTGGACTCTGAAAAATAGACATACTTCATGAGCTAAGGATTTAAAATGAGAGAAAGAAAATGCTAGAAAAATAAATTATAACTGGTTGAAATGATGAAATAGAGTAAATAAATAAAGGCAGTTCTTTTACCCTAGGCTACAAAACTTTGAATAAATCTGTACCTGAATAAAAAAATATCTTTTGATTAATATAATTGTGACTTTGTGGGGGAATTAGTCAAACGTGCAACTTCATTCCTAATAGCCAATCGGCCTTAGAAAAATTTTTGGTTTCTCTTAAGGGCGGGCCATTTCAATTTTTTTAAACCAATGTTAACTTCTCATCCTTGAAAAGGATTTGTAACACAAAATTTAAAATTTATAAGATATTCCATTGATGCAGGTGCTATCAAGTACTTTGATATGATACAGACTTAAGATTTTGTATAATAAAAAATACAAACATTTACATTTCTGCATACTTTCTTTTAAAATGGTGTTACTACTTAACTACGTTACACCGATATCAGACCATCTACATTGATAGGTTAGTCATCCAACATTTAGGAAGAGAGTGGTAGAATGAATTACTTTCAGCAAAAATAAAATTACTGAAATTTTTACTTATGAAATTGTGTTTATCAATTTTACATACAGAAATTTAACAGACCTGATGATAGAAATTTCTTTTTCGATATCTTCTTCTGAGGCATCATCTTCCGAGAGTGCTTCTCGGCACATTTTCTCTGCGAGTCGCAATTTTTTTTCGGCCTCATTGTATTGACCTAGGCCAATCAGCTTACAGGCTGCGTTGTAAACTCGCTCATAGGTGCTTTCATCAATTGGTGCAACTTGTTTCTTCTAGAAAAGAAATGATAAATTCAGAGGTTTCAAAATTTTGTTAATTTCAGTGAGAGCTTACAAAAGGATAAGATTTGCAATAAGCAGGAACTCGTAACAGATAATTTAACTGGCATTTGTAGAAATTTACAAATGAACTACAAGGAACATTTCTTAAGTTTTACTTTGTTGGGATTGGTTGCAAAGGGAACTATCAAGACAATTCATAGATTGTTGTAATTTAGGGGGCTATCGAAATTGCAAAAGACAAAAATAAATTCTGTTAATTGATAAACTCATTTGGAGTTTTAGGGCATAGCACTCCAGAAGGATAATTATTTTTGAAGTAGTTATGAACTAAATTGACATGGCACAATGGAATGGTGGTAAAGATACTTTTGTTAGTTTTTTTTTTGGGGGGGGGGGGGATATCTTCACACATTCACAGAGATAGCAATTTCTCAGGGCATTATTGAGCGGATTGCTGGAATCCCTATCCATGATGGAACAGCTGCACGATGAGAACTGACAGCCACAATAGAGCATGTCCTACACCCTGTGTTCATTCACATTCACTCAAAATTAGTGAATTAATTTTTGGAAAGTATTTTGTCTTTATGCCAGCTTTTCTAACAATCTATCTTGAAATTTAGATTGTTACTAACTCCAATTTTTCTTTTTTAAAGCACTACTAAACGTCTCATATTACATGTCAGAGAGAGTTTCAAAAAGGGCAGATATTTTGGGAGGAGAAAAAAAGGAACTTTACGTACAGATCCTTCAATGGTCAGATTGGCAATGACGGCGGATAAATTGGTCTTCCTTTCGTCCTGATACACATCATCAGAGTTCTTCAAGATTTCTTGATAAGCGTCATAACACTCTTCATACCTGATAAAAATCAATGTAGGAATAATTTTCCAACTTTATGGACCATCATACACATAAAAATCAATACCATTGAACACTGACATGCTTTCCTCAAGTACCAAAAATTTTTAGAATTTTTATTGGGACACAGCTTAAAAAAATAATGTGGCTTTTACTAATTGATGAATCATCATTACTAACAATGAGGTTATGCACTCCGCAGTCTGTAATATTTCCAATTTAGTAGCAAATTGAAACGAGTAAGAGTTCTTGAGAGACAATGGTGAGCGATGGATTTAGTAATACGGCAAGCTGTGGTGCAGAGGTTCACAACCAGTGGTCTGCGAGCTTATCTGTGGTGGTTCGGAGTGCTGCGAAAGAACATTTTTCATAATTTCCAACTTTCTATTTTTCACTCTTTTTTTCTTTTTTCTCTCTTTTTCTATTTTTCTCTCTTTCTTTTTTTTCTCTTTTTTAATTTAAGGTAGAAATGCCACTGCTCTCTTTATTCAGATTCAAAAATTTAGATGTATGGTTCATAGAGAAAAAAAGGGTGTGGATTTTTACTGGAGGCCCGGAGCCTTCTCCTTAACTAAAAAGGTTGAGAGCAGCTGCTGTAGCCACCATTATAAGTTAGGACAGAGGGAGCGGAGGTTTTCCACAACAAATTTTAAAACATAAGTTATGATCATGGTGACGCCATGTCTCTACAGTACGCAGAGAGGGAAAAAATAATAATAATGAAACTACGCAGATACTCACACTAAAGTGGGAAAAAACTTGTTCAAGCATAATTTTTCTCTCATTGCCATACTGCTTGACGTAACACTACTTACATCTAATCAGTAAGCAGCTGCAAATGCGTTTTAAGTCTATTTGGCTATTTGAACCCATCATCAAAGTAGCATACTTAGTTGCCCGAAGTATTTGCTGGTCCATTCTTGGTTTGATTTTAATGACCTCTTTGAGAGAGGTAGCAGAAAATCAGGAATCTGAACTAGACTAATAACCGGGGTTCCAAAACGCAAGCCGTTTGCTGCAATCTGGAGTTTTTTCTTCACAGGCAAACATGCTAATTATTACAAAATGCTGATTCCTCGGGAAAATGTGCGATTCGGCTCATTCTTTTGAGTCATGGAGCAAAAAAAATAGTACTTGCCCTCCTTACTGAGACCGCATACCAGTGTTGTACAACGTAGCGGTGTTGGTGGGATGTATATTATAAATTTTGTATTAAATTACATAATATCTGCTTAAGCTCACCTTTCTAATCTGTACAAAATTTGAGCTTTCAGCTCTTTGATCTTTAAATTATCGTCTGCTAAACTAACTGTTTTCAGCGCTTCTTGAACTGCGCCTTGCTTGTATTGACAATAGGCTTTTTCAAAAAGAAGTTTCCTGTAACATATTAAATAAAGAGTTAGTAATTACGATTATTAAAATTGCGAGGTGTAATAGAAAAAGATACGCAAGTGGCAGATTTTTTTTTTCATTTTCAAATGTTGAAAGTAACACAAGCCACAGCTATTCATGACATTTCTGCAACTGTAATTATACATTTTCCACATTTTCACAAATAAAATGGGTAAATTGGAAATTCCAAATTGATATATTCTGTTTTTCACATTGAAAGTCAATCTAACGTGCATTTTTGCTTTGCGATGTTGAGAAATTGCAATTCTTGTCAGACCTCTTGCAATTCTGTAACCAGATTTTTTGCGACAAAAAAACACCCAGTTTAATCGTTGTTCGATACTGTGAACATTGTATTTAAATGGATCCAATAGTTTGCTTGGATCTTCTTATAAAGAAAATTCTCTGGTCCAGGTGGACTGGTGGTGGAGTAATCTAATGCTAGAAAAAATTTTTGTGCCACCTTTTCCCCTTTAGTAAAAGAGAAAAATGAATAAAAATTTAGGTCTTACTCTGAAATTTGTTTAGGAGCTTGCTTCAAAACTTGTAAGGCATCTTGAAAACGAGACAAGTGAATCAGACAAATAATCTTGTAACCAAGCGCATTTTCTTCATTAGGTTGCTGCTGTAAAACTGAAAAAAAATAAAGAAGCAAGTATAAGTGGCACTCTTTGCATGAAATCCAAGAATTGTTAAGGAATTAAAATCCGGTGTAAATTTATCCAATCTAAAAGCCACCTTACAATAACGTATGAGACTAATGTACTACGATCATGAACAGGAAATATGCCTGACCTGGCTCATACATCAAATAAGTAAACTCAATAGGCACTTCATAATTTCCAAATTGAACTGACTCGATTGTATGTTTTGTCTTGTTTCTTTTTTCATAAAATTTTTGGTTGCCTCCAACATTTGCTACAATGAATTACGATCCATCTCTTCTAAGACGAGCGATAGAACTCAGTGAGAGGCATACAAAGTCTATCAGGCTAGCACAGACGGCTAACCACCTTCTGGCTATTAACAGGGCCTTTAAAATACCTCGCATGTAAGCGCACACATTCAGAAACATTATGCCCGAATCAAGTTTGAGACCTAATCCATAGTGCACCAGATGTGACAAAATTCAACCGCAGGTTTGAGAAGTTGAGGCTAAAAGTAGAATCAGAAGCTAGTTACCTTTGTTTGCAGTTTTCAGGGCTCTTTCATATTCTTCACTGGCTCCGAATTTCACTAATTCTGAGAGAAGAGGATTAATGGAATTACTTTGAGAACCCATCATGTGGCATTGGTGTTTCTGGCTTGAGTAAACACCTCTGAGAGGGATAAAGGATTTACCACTTCATGAATTGAAAAATCTGCCGGAAAACTAAGAAGAACGTGGTCAATAGTATTATCACTGTTATCGGGCAGTACAGTGTATAAGTAAGATGATCACTTCTGCAAATCCGAAAGAGATGAAAAACACATGATTACGACAAATTTTACTTGCAAATTCAATTCAGTCATTCGTTCTCTCTAACCTAGAAAATTTGTCTAAAAATTGTGTTGACGTCATTTGTAAACATGTGGCACTTTACCAATCTTTGAAACCTAATATTCTCTTGATTTCCCATTACCTAAATACTTCATACAAAAAACCTATCATAGGCTATTTATAATGATTAATCGGAAGAAAAAGAATTAGATATAATTTTTATAAACATCCGATCTCATAAAAAAGACCGAAAAATGCCCGAATGCATTTGAGGAAGTTTTGACATTCTGAAAAGGTACCGTAGTTTTATGTTTGGAATGAGTTATTCCGAAATTCTTCATCATGGCTCCTCGACTCCGTTCTTTCAGTTGATCATCATCCGATTTCGCTTATCGCCTCAACTCTCTGATCTGCTCCTAAATTAGTTAGTGTATCAATATTTCTCGGTCGTCGCGAGTTCAGTGTTTGTGATAGTTATAGTTTTATGCAGTTATAAAGTTCAAGTGTCTTCATGCATCTCTCGATATATTCTTGATAATGGAAACAGAAAAAAATATCTTTGATACGAGTGTCAGCAAACCTCGGGTGAGTTGCACATCCGTCTCTTTTGTCTCGCAACTAATGCCGTTTTTGTAATAAATTCCCCAATTTATACATCAGTGTTCGATATTTCATCATCTTAATCGTAAAATTAGACATCTAAAGTTTGCAAGCTGTGCTCCTAATCTTTCTATTCTACCCATCTGCACTGAAAGTCTAGGAGTCCTCAATTTATTTTGCCTTTGGCCTGGCAGTCATATTGGAATGGCTGAGCAGGGGAAGCAGGGTTTCTAAATGGATCAGGGATCTTTAGCCTTTTCTTATTCTATGGCCCACTATTTGTTCCAATTATTATTTCCTCAAAGTCTCAACATTTGATTTTGGAAAAACTTCACATCCATGAAACTCATCTATGCTGCTTCCATGAGCTAGGCAAGTGAGAACTATGGGCTAATTCTCAATTAAACATGTAGTTTCCTGTTCTGTGTGAAGTGTCGCATTTCCAATGATCCGCATACCAGTTGCATTTACCAGCAGCATCAATTCACATCAAAATATTGATCAGATTTTGTATATTGGAGGAGAATGTGTACTTTTTTTCAATCCGGAAAGAGGACACATAGATATTATGTTGAATTTTATGAACGCCGAGTCAATTACATGTCCGTCAGAATGATCTCCAAAAATTAGGTAAATACTAGCTATCTCGAATGGTGAAATATGCCTCTTCAAAAGTTGAAAGCCATGATTATTTACTGCCATTGTCTTAATATCTTCGGCACCTTGAGTGTCTCATCTACCGAGATGTTATTCTATTGGTTCAATTCCGCCCACTATCAATGGTGGCAAAAGTACCTTCGTCATTTTATGGAAAACACATTATCGCTTACACATGTAGGTCTTTAAAAGAGCATACTCTACGCAATGCAAGTAGCGTGGGGTTTTTTTTGATGCCTGTGAGGGGGCCATCTTATACACTGAATGAAAAACTCTAGTTTTATTGATAATCTGCTTCAGGCCAATTATTGTAATTATGTCAGCACAACAAGACAAGACATAGCTCTATCTTTACTGTGCATTATATCGGATTTCGATGTCTTATCAGGCTACTTTAAACTTTCAATTATTGGTCCGCTGGATTTGGAAAGCTACACAAGTGTACTCTGTACTGGAATTAAACTGTATTCAAATCTATCATTAATTCTTCTATTATTTCTATTTATTATATCTATTATTTATATTTACTATCAATTAGTTTTGATCTACCTCAGAGAGGCAGGGTAAACTGAAGGATATGGTTAAAGTAGTGTAAACGAAGCGATCAGGTTACGTAATCACAGATCCGTAATTGTTCTCATTAGGGCAATGTTAGCAACTAAATATCAACGGGAATACTTCACAAACAAGGTTAAAAATTGTTTGCACCACTATAATAAGCCTCAAATTAACATTCCATTTTTTTGCATAGTAACCAACAGGCTAGGTTGGAGTGTTGGGGATATGTCTCTTTGAAGTAGGTTAGTTTTAGGTCAGGGGGTATGGTTTTCTGTCATCTTGCATTTTTAAATTTAACACACAATTTTAGCTGCCCCCGTGGTCTCCTGTGTTTAAGCTAATCGCATATTTTTCTCCTCCAAATATTTTTGCATTTCATTGTGCACTTGAAACTTTGCTCTTGACCCTTAGAAGCTAAGTATCTTACCTCCAAGGCTTCCTGATTTGGCCCCTCTTCATTTGATATTCTGTGGTGTAACAAATAAAAACTGGTTTTCCCTCTGGTCTGCATCTTCCCTCCTCTCCTTGGTTACCAAATAATTGATATCTCAATGTCAGACCCGGTGGAAGTCAACTAGAGTAAACAAACAAATGTTTCACAATTTCGCATTTCAATTCTCAAACCTGAAACCTGGTGAACCGTCAAAATTATACCCAAAAAGCTTTGCCTCTGTGACTTTCTCACTGGGGGCAACTTCCTTTCATCATTCCACTGATCGTATCGAAAAAATAACTTGTTTTCGTTTCCTCAACTCAAGTGCTCAGTAAATTTTCCTTGTTTTTAGACGATGCAAGCTTTCCCTTCAATTTAGTCAATGATTCCTCTAGAGTTTAAGCTAGTCATGTAGCATACAGAAAGAATATTGCAGGTTTCCGTACGGAGTGTTTATAACCATGGATAATCACAGGACTGTTTGCTTTGAATTATAAGGCTGTGCTAGGTTGTAATGGTTGCATTTTTTGCAGAATAATTGAAGAAGGTGTTTTTTGAGGAGAGATTTGAAGTCGACACTATGTCTAATTTCCCTGTGTATACTAGGGTTCCTAGTAACACGAACCAGATTTTTGCTTTACCCAAATAGGACATATGGAATGATTTTCAGTTGCGTCTTGAGGTGTGCAAAAGCAAGCTAGACATCAGAAATTCTGCTGCTAATAGACCGATTCAGACTTAAGTACATCCCAGAAAAGTAATACTTAGGTGCATGTGTATTCTCCCATCAAGATTTTGCGGTAGGCCAAGTAAATGCTATTTGGTTTTAAGTAGATATTTAGCGCTATTTCAGTGAAAGGTATCCGTTTTTCTGGAGTGTTTCCGTACGGAGTGTTTATAACCATGGATAATCACAGGACTGTTTGCTTTGAATTATAAGGCTGTGCTAGGTTGTAATGGTTGCATTTTTTGCAGAATAATTGAAGAAGGTGTTTTTTGAGGAGAGATTTGAAGTCGACACTATGTCTAATTTCCCTGTGTATACTAGGGTTCCTAGTAACACGAACCAGATTTTTGCTTTACCCAAATAGGACATATGGAATGATTTTCAGTTGCGTCTTGAGGTGTGCAAAAGCAAGCTAGACATCAGAAATTCTGCTGCTAATAGACCGATTCAGACTTAAGTACATCCCAGAAAAGTAATACTTAGGTGCATGTGTATTCTCCCATCAAGATTTTGCGGTAGGCCAAGTAAATGCTATTTGGTTTTAAGTAGATATTTAGCGCTATTTCAGTGAAAGGTATCCGTTTTTCTGGATCACTTTGATTTTCACTGGAAAAATCCGATTTTTCCCCACCAACAAGCTTTTTTTAGAGAAAATTCAATTTTCCTGATAATTTGTGCACGATGGAACAAAACAGAAGTCATTTTCGGATTCTACAGTTTTCTTGTCCGCAATATCGAGGTTATTCTGGTCAAAGCCTCCTTCTGCCCTTACATCACCGTGTGAAGCTCATTCGAGTGTTCCTTGAAATTGGAAAGGAGGGTGAACAAATTTTCTATGGCGTTTGATGAAATTTGTCACCGAATTTTCAATGCGGTAGCAGATGAACCTTAGTTTTTTCCAACACCCTCGTAAAATCAAGTTTCCTAAGAGAGAGGGGTTTTCTGAGCTGGAAAAACGTGTTTCTTTGAAATTTCGATTTTCCAAAAAGTTGGAAGGTTCTGGTGAAAAACTGAGGTTTGATTCAGCGTCAGTGGCAAAAATTAGGTGATAATTATCCGATTAGAAACTTGAGAAAAGAGCCCCTTACCCCTCCTCTCTCTGACGCTAAACAATGAGATGAGCTTTCCATAAAGGTCCATACGGACAGACGGAGGCTTACGACCGTAAAATCTCGATAATAGGAACTAAGGGGAAAATTTTCTAGGCATATATTTTATGATTGCCTATGCATTTTAGGTTTTGAATCTGAAAATAGCCTCGGTTTTCTTCTATCGCACGCAGGTTTTCCAGAAATTGAGTTCCCTCTTGGAAAAAATCGTTTTTGGGGGAAAATTCCGATTTTTCGGGGATTACCGCACTGACCCAACAAATGGGGGTCGGGGGGTTCGGAATCAGCGCTAAAAAATCTAATGATAATACGTTAATTGTCAAATGTTATGTAGGTGGAAGTAAAAAAAAAAGTTTGTTGACCGGTGTAACTCTTGGTCAGGAACCGAAGATTCTTACCTTAGGAATTTTGCAACCCTTCAAGCCCCTAAAGTCTTCCTATTCATGTTATTTTTTTTCAATTTGAAGGCAAATTGGCAATCGCGGTGGCTGTTGAACGCGGATCACGGATATAGTTTCGTGGACTCATGATGTAACTGCCTTAACCTCGTTCATCTCCAACCTTTGTCGTATCCGAAAGATTCCGCGATCCTCTAGTGACATTTGGCTCCTTTGTAAAGGACATTTTCGACTCCAAAATCGTAACCCATTTTGTTGTAGCATTTTGTCTCTTGTTACTGAATCCAATTCGCCATTTAGGTTCGGATGGTTCCAGCACATTTCTTGCAATAATGGGTCACTAAACTATGAGCGAAAACTGACTTGTCAATGCATTTTTCCAAAGGTAAATGCCGCGTGGAACACGTTGCTCAAAATGAGAAAAAAAAGTTCGTTATAAAATGTCGATGGAAGAATAACGTAAAATAATTGTATTATTAGTCGAATTTTATTGTGGTGTGGGTTGCATACTCAGTCCCTGAAATTTTCATGCAGTTTTCTCAGTTAATTTAAAAAAATCCCGAAGTATTATTCCGTACATATTTTGCAACCCTGTGAGGGGGTGTGTGGGTGATATCCTCCACCATATTTTTCAAAGGTCAATATTTCCTCGTCCAGGAAAACCGCCGTTTGAACTTTCAAACATTGCCAAATTGCATCCTCACAAGTATTATAAATAACTAGGGGGCTACGCCCCCTGGCCGCTACGCGGCCCAACCCCCTGAAGGCGCTCCGCGCCATCAATGGGCCGCTTCGCGGCCCTATTTTTACCCTCCTATCAGTGTTAGTTTTATTTTTCCCCTAAAAAATTACGATATGAGGTATACTTTAGTTTTAAACTTTACTTAAAATTACTTTAAAATTAAAAGGACGCGTTTTGGAATGACAGATTGATGAAATATTGCAGTAAAACAATGATCACTGATAGTCAGGTAATGATTAAGATTTCATCAGTCAGGGATCGAACCCACACCGAGCTCAAAGTAGATGCATCCGACGTCTTAGACGACTCGGCCACCGCTCAGATAAGTGTAGAGTTGATGCGCAGGCTACACAGCTACTGC